CAGTGAATGTAGTATTATGCTTTAAATACAAAGAATTAATTAATAATTAATTGAAATCTGTGATTAATCCCAGTGTCCCTATAACTGTCACCAGAAAAATTAAAATAATTGTTATATACTTTAACAATTCATTTTGTGCAATAGATATAGATTGAATAGTAAAATTACGGTTCTTTCATTACTATGATTTCGCCATCACTTCCTACTTACGTAGTCGCGTTTCTGCCTCTTAAATTGCACTTTCAAATTTTCAAAATTAATCTTTAAATACCAGGCACACACAAGTAACAGTATTTCTTTGTTTTTATGTAAAACAAGGTGTTAATATTATAATAAAATTTGTTGTATACAATTCTTTATACTTCACAAGGTTATTAATATAAAATAAATTAAGTCACAGTAATTAGGACACGTTTACCCTATTCGTGTCTGTTCGAAAGGAGGTTATGGCGGGAAATTCAAAATGGCACACGGAGCTGAAAAGACTCGACGCAGCGATTCTGACTCAAACAAAAAAAAACTATATGTATATCATTCTTAAAATCGCGTATCGAGCATCGCGAAATGTCGAGCAGAAAGGCACCAGGTCGCGAGAAGGAAAGGTAGGAAACGTCGAGCTGGAGAAGGTAGGACAGAGTGAGAGAGATGTCGAGGAAGGGGCCGAAGTCACCGGCGATATGCACAAGCGCCGCGGCGCGGCAAAAGGTGGGGATCTATTCATAGGAATGACTCATGTCGGAGATGACGCCGCGAATAGTCGGCCAGAATTTGCGCACTACACTATGCCACCAGGCTTTGCGCCTCTCACGTCCATGATTCCGTTTGCCAAACGCTGATACGATTCGCGACCGAGCGTCCCCTCTCCCCTCGTCTAACACTTCCCAGCCCATGCAACTTTGTTGCCCCTTGACCGAGGAAGGAAGTGTCCCAACGCAATCCCCTCTCCATTTCACTTCCACCGGAACAAGTTGCAAGATTCGACTTCGCAATTGCTGTCCTGCTTTCGATGACCTTTTTTGAACTCCAATGGATCCCCGTGGAATGTTACGTAGAAGAGGTTTAAGTTTGTATTTTGTGGGAATTGAAAATTTTGAGCAATTTTTAATTTTGTGGCATAAGTGGATAGGGTGGATTCTAGGCGTTTGTGAGACTTTATAACTATTGACTGAAAGTGTGTATAGGGAACTGTTCGATAAGATTTTTAGGGTATTTTTGCGAATTGATAGAATCTGTAAGTGGGGAAAACGAATTTTTGTTTCATTACAGTTTCTGTTAAACAGTTCTGTCCGTGAGTGGATATATGGATTATAAACAGAATGGAAAGAAATATTAGTTAATTATGAAATTTAAAGGCCAAAAATGGATACTAAATACTTAAAAAAAATTGATCATTATCAGAAAGAGTCTGTTACATATAAATGTCTCGAGAAATTATATTTATATTCCAGCCCGTTACTTTGGCAAAGGGATTAACTCCACGAAAATATAAAAAGTTAAGTACCGATCGAGTGCTGTGGCACTAAAATTTGAAAAAAAAAATTCAAAAGTAAGATCACTTTGATTATGAACGGTTCATTTAACGAAATAATATCGTGTAGCTAGGCAACAAGTGACCCAATTTCCCGTCAATTAACGGAATCAAATCGAATCAAACATTCCAGAGGGTAATTTGCAGCAAATAGGTTCTTGCGTCAGAACCACAGAATATTACGAGCCGTCCAACACGCGAACGCAGGCAAAAACCAAACGAAAACGTCACGAAGACGGAGGGACAAAAGAGCATGTGACAGTCGGACATACATACATACATAGGAAATTCACGCGACCGCGAGAAAACGTTTAGTGGAAAATTTTTGCGCGGACGCAATGCTGCGGCGGAGCCGTTCTATCGCGTCATCGGCGTGGCTCTCCTGGGAGACGCCTCTAATTCACTAGAATCACTTGATTCGTCGGGTATCTTGTTTACTACTTTCGACCCCGTGCGCTATCGGGCGCATAGAAAAGCTTCTTCGTCGCTGTACGATGTTATCGCCGTTGGTAAAATTTGCGATACAAAACAATGTATACCGAGAAACGTGGAAACGGAATGATATAGGAAACGCCACGACGGACAGTGGTACAGAACGCCTGTTTAGGAGTTCAGAAGCTTAATTTGGGTGTAAAAATGGGAATTTTAAAACCAAACTTGGTAAACATACACTTCCTCTAAACGTCATTTCTGCGAAACATTTGTAAATAAACTTTTTTTTTTTTCAACATAATTTCGCATTTTCGAGCTGTGTTGAGCACGCTGAATACATCTAATGCTCATGCAAATTTATGAAAAATTGTCCTGAACTGAAACAATTACTGATTTGTTCCATACAGTACTAGCATTTTTTGATCGTTTAATATTCGCAATTTCGTTATCCAGAACAAAATTTTGAAAGAAGTCCATTCATTTTCTGCCTAGACATCTGTAATGAAGTTTCCAATTTTGTACCCGACATGACACACTAATAAAAAAAAGTACCTGTAGTTAAGGGTTAACAACGGATAACGTCAAATTGCGTACTATCGATTTTACTGTCCAATGAAGTGAACTTACAAAAATTCTTGTGCTTTGCCTCCTATTTCACAACTGTAAATTATCACCGCAAGACCTTCTCTAAGTTTGAGCAAAATGATTAAAATAAAACTATTACGCATATTTCTTCTATCTCAGCGTTACGTAACTAGGCTAAACCAACCAGTAATCGATTGTATCAGTGAATGACCACTAGGCAAAAAAATTAAATATTTATAAATAAGTGTAGTTGCACTTTTAATATGCCATATTTTTAGTAAGTACAATTCCTATTAAAAATATTTCAAAAATATAGCAGTCATTTACTGGATTCTTACACGTTTCGCACTTAACAAATAATTTTTCAAAATTATTGCTGTTCTGTTTCTATAAATAAATACATTCAAGCATTACTCCGAAACATCCATAAATTCAACGATTCGGTCATTCACTGGTTGGTTTACCCTATATACAGTTGAAGAATCATAAAAGAGTTAATTTGATATAGATCAAGTTTAGTCTCGAGTCCACCCAGAGATCTAAGTAAATCCCCGTACATAAACGTTCCCGATCCGGTTGAGAACGATGAAAGAATCCTCGACGGATCTTCTTCGAATCGAGCGAAGGAGGGCTGAATGACAGCAGACCGGTCGCGCGATCTGCACGGGTATTAAATGGTCACGGAAAAACGGTGGAACTCGTTCGACCGCTCGTCAATGGGGATATCGTGGGTCGTCTGGTCAGGTTGCTGCCGCTGGTTGCCAGCAGACGTCGAACAGGCCTGCTGCATTCCGTAAAACAGGCACGTATGGCGTGTTCGCGTTTCGACGGCAATCGAGAGCCGAGGGGAAGTGCGTTTAGTAGCGTATCCGGCGTAGGTACTGTTACCCGAGTCTCGATAGAGAGGATCTACGAACCGATACGACGCAATCATCCCACCCACGTTTCCCCCTCCACGATATTTTCCATTCAGAGTTTCCCGTTCGACTCGAGAGACCGCCCACCCTGGTCCAACGTAACGAAACGACAGGAAGAAAAGTACCATTTTTTTTTTTTCTTTCGGAGATTCAGGTGACTTGGAATTTGGGGAATAGGTGGAACGAATTGAAAAGATGGAAAAGTTGAACGGGTGATTTCGATACTTTGGAAGTTGATATTTTATAGTTTGACAGTTGAAGAAGAGAGCGCTGTGGGGTAAAAGGGTTTATGAATGCCTATATATTTTATACTGTTATTGGTAAGCTGGTGCTTTACACGTATCTGTATAGAGTATTTAGACTCGAGAAAATGTGAAAGGAAGTAAAATAAATGTTAGTGTAGTTATATTCTAGTGTCAGTAAAAAGGTACTTCGCAAGATCGATCTTTCAAAGCTTTGGTGTGCTCAATTTCCTAAACTATGGATTCTGACCATTTTTGGACATTTTAATAAGCTTTAGGATTTTATTGAGGATGGTACTATTTTTGGTTACCTTTACCGTATAAAGTATTGGACCATATGGTACTTCTGAAAATCGATCTTTGAAAGCTGTAATATTCTCATTTCTTAAACCGTAGATTTTTCTGGCCATTTCTGGATATTTTAACAAGATTTAGGATTCTATAAAAAATCATTAGCATTCTATAGAATATCAGGCAAAAGGTATCACAGGAAACAAATGGTAATTCCGAATGGCAGAGTTTATCATGTCCCGTGTATATGTGTGGGTGTTATAAATCAGTGTTTTTTTTTTTTGGAGGACGTTCACAAGGAAGCGAGCCAGTCCCCGCGCGTAACAATGGCGACATTCGGGAAGGCAACACGCCTGCATTTTACGCCGCGCGTGTTTCAAGCAGCGCCTCGACGAAGAGAGAGAGAGAGAAAAGACGCAAAAGTGACTTTCGAGACGACCGCATCATCGTTATTTCCGAAAAGTCAGGCGCTCCCACGTGATCTTACGTAAACAACAAACAAACGAATATAACGCGTCCGTCAGCTTATTCGTCCGCGGGAAAACGGGGAAATGTGTTGCGATCCGATCACGTGTCCTACCCTTCCCGGGTAATTAATTCTTCCATAATACACGATGGGTACGAAATCACGATAAGATAACAGAAAAACGACAAAAAATCTTCGTCTCCGTGTAATTTGCCTAAAAAAGTGTTCCTTCTGTCACAGAATTGAAACAAGATGCTAAATAAAAAAGAACGACGAAAAATCTTGTTCTCCGCGTAATTTTCTCAAAAGAAACTATCATTTCTGTCGAAGATTTCAGAATAACTTTCATAACGATCGACACGTCAGGAAGAGAAAGGGCCCGGAATAAACCGGTGGTCGACATCACAAAGACCCAACGGCACCACCGAAGGCCTTATCGACCCGACAGTGTTTTAAACAATAAAAATTTGACACACAACGATCAAGCTCATTTTCCGAATTCACAAATTATCTACAAAAAAAAAAAAAAAAGCACTCACCGAGAAGAAGAGCGGGCTCCCAATTATCCTCCAGCAGGGCGACCAACACAAGGAACAGCGGATGTTGTACAGGCAACCGGTACAGGTCATCGGTGCAGTCATCGTAGACGACCACCTCCCTGTAGTGTCTCCTTCGTAACAGTTCCTTCCCCTCCCTGGTCGTGGCCAGATCGGCCAGTGTAGCTTTCCCCAGCTGTAGCCGTCTTCGATTGAACCGATCGGAGCAGTTCACGTTGATGGCGCCTCTCACGTGGTTCACGTTGTACAGAATGAACGGTCGACAATCTAACAGAACAGGTCCTTCGTTCGTCTGACGGTTAGGCAGACGGTTCGCTAGCTCGTCAGCGGTTATGGTGCCGGTTCTCTGTATCACCAGCTGCCTCTGCAGCGTGTTGTTCTCGTTGCAGGGGCTCGTGGGCAGGCTCACGGTCTCCAGTTTGCAGCGTTTCGAGGCGGACAGCTGATGGAAGTGATGGTGATGATGATGGTGGAGATGATAGTGACGATGATGCAAGTCCACCAATGGCAGATCGCAATCGGTCCCACTGCTGGAGCTGCTGCAACTGCTCCCGCAACCGCTAACGATGCTGCTACCACTTGCGTTCAAGCTGCAACCGGGGCTACTGCTGCTGTCACTACCGTCGACAACGTCCACGCCGCTGCTGGTCGACGAACACGGTGATACGGTGGACGTCGGCGAGGACAGGAAGCTTGACGAGCCACCAGCTGGCGGGCCAGGCTCGCTCAGGCTACGGTTCAATACCAGTTTGAGGTTGTCCCGAGACCGTCCGGCCGAGACCGGCTCGCAGCACACCAGAGTAGACATAGGTGATGAGGACGGTTGCTCTGGGTGTTGACGATGTGGCGGTGGCGGTGGTGGCTTGACGTCAGCAGCCGCGGTTATATCGAGACGCGACCCCGACGCTGAAACGGAGGAAGAGATCGTCAGATCGGTGGTGAGGACTCTTTTGTGGAGGTAGTGGTGCGCAGAATTGGGCACAATTTTATTCGTGAAAAACAGTAGTATCTGGGATCGTTAGCCTGACCTTTGAACAGTTAATGGTATGAAATAATTGTTTGCCAAGTGTTTACTCATTCGAGAAGTATTATGTTATTGTAAAAATTGAAATTTTCAGGGTTATGCTATTAAAAATGAAGTACTTGTTTATTTTTTATTCGTTATTCGAAATTTGTAGTTACTATGAGAGTCAATGCTTTGATTGGGTATTGCTCTTTCGTTTTGCACACCGTTCTTCGTCTTCCGTTTTCGATAAGAAACGTTTATTATGCCAACAGACCGTTTCAAACGACAATTGGCGACTCCGAAGATCTAGCACCGAGCGTGTTATCTGTCACTCCCCTTGGGCCAACGGTGCACACATCCAGAGGATAGAAAACGATCGTTGAAAATCGTACACCGACCTTTAATCTATCGCCTCGAGGCGACTGTTCGCATCTTCTCGCGTCGTCGATAGACTGTGAGACAGAGAGACCGCGCGTAATCAGTGAGTCAGTTTAATAGTCTCCTCTCACGGCTTATGGAATCACGGGGCTTCCTCATTGCTAGACGTTCCGTGAACGACGATAAAACCACCACATAACACATGTGCTGAACCCGCGTCTGCTCGTTAGTTCCGGGCAATTCAACGAAATTCAAACGAACCTGCCTAACCAAACAGAACACACATTTGGAAACTGTTTCTGGCTCCCCGAACAAGCTTCCCGTAATCAATTTTCGGTAACGTCGATTTAATGGGTTCCATGTAGAGATGGCGTGAATTGCTCCTTGTGAATCACGAGTGACACGATTACGATCATTCCCAGTCACGGTGATTTTTCACAGTGATTACGTGATTTTTCGTTATCACTTCTGACTGGTGGCGAGCATAACAAACATAAAAAGCCAACCTGTATACTTTATATAAATGACATCGAAACAAAAATGCGGGTTGTGTCGTGCAAAATTAAGGAATAACGAGGAATAATGAAGAATAATGAATAATTAAGGATTATAAATTCTGAACTATACAGGGTGTCTCAAAAAGATGGCACAATCCGCAACATGCATATTCCTCATGCCAATACAAATCGAAAAGTTCTTTACCGTTTTGCAATCTGATGCTCCATTTTCGAGATATTAGCGGTTAAACGAACTCCAATCAGCTGAGCGGTGGGTCACATGCATGCATAGGTGGTCAGACAGAGTCAAGAAGGCTAACGCTCAGCTGGTTCGAGTTCGTTTAATCGCTAATATCTCGAAAATGGAGCTTCAGATTGCAAAACGGTAAAGGACTTTTCGATTTGTATTTGCATGAGGAATATGCGTGTTGCGAATTGTCCCATTCTTTTGGGACACCCTGTATACCACATAACATATATTTTGTATTCTTATTATGTTTTCTACTTATTTTTAAGAACGAATGGTAACGGTAATTCAATTCCAAATTATATTGAATATGTTTTTTTTTACAGGTCTGATAATTAAAGAAAGATGAAAACATTATTCTACAAAGAGTCAATGAAACGTAACGTGTTAAAACTGTTAGGAAGTGATTTGTATACGTACCGATTCCGTAACTTTCATTTTATCATTACAGAAAAATATACCTTCCGAAGAATCGAATCGAAATCGAGCATCCCTAGTCTCGGGGTTAGGTTAGGAACACCGAAGTTAATTCTGTTCGCGAAGGGTTTAATCGTGAAACGTGTTTATGAAACTCTTACGATAAAGTTCGTAATAGAGGGAAGTATATTCGAGGAATCACCGTGACGTTAAGGTAAATACCTAAATTCGACACACACTCGTTACCGTTCCTGTTCCGTGCTTTTAAATAGCAACACACGGACGCGACGATGAGTCAACCCACCGAAATATTTGTACCGTTGTGTGTTGCTGCTGTACGGTCGCCACGGGACGAAAATATTCCACGGATTGCACAGGTGCGACCCGAAGTCATTATCCCAAGTGGGGGGGATCGAACGTGTCGCAGATGAATGACAGGGCCGATGCCTCGCTATTATGTCAGTGAAATCGTTCTGTATTACACCTGCCGCCTTTTGGCATCAGAACGACTTCATAGAATTCTCTATTTTCGACTGATATTTCAATACGATCGGTAGACACTATTTAATTTCACTATCTTTCCCATTTATACGATTTGTTTTCACGTGACAGCTACGCGCTGCGATTGGTAGCCAACGTTACCGCGGGAACTCAACTGGCAGACTCGCGCTCTGATTGGTCGGAGGTTTTTCGTTAATAAAGGGTGTCTCAGCAAGAACTTGGATTTCGAATCGCGCGCCATTTTCGTCTGTCAAATGGTGAGTCATATTTGGCGGCTTTTTAGTTAATACATTGACATTTACGAAAATGACGCGTTACACTTTGGAAGAACATTTGTTAATAGTGAAAACCCATTACAAACATTACAAACGTTGTTGCAAACTAAGTTTCCAGGTCGTGTCACCTCTCGTCTTGGAGACCAAAACTGGCCGCCAAAAAGTTGCGATTTAACCTGTTTCGATTATTTCCTCTGGGGCTTTTAGAAAAGTAAGGATAAGCAAACGACTATTACCAAATTCGTAAAATCCACCGGCCCTTACTCCAAAACGTACTGCGAAATTTCGTCAAAAGAATACATACCTGCCACCAGACCAACGATGGCCATTTAACCGACATTTTATTTCATGTTTAATGTCATTAATAACTTTGAATATATCAATAATAAAATGTAAAAAAAAAAAACAAATTAATGTGTTTCATCATTTATCACCTTCTATCTCGTTAACGAAGCCTCGGATAACATTTTTGCTAAGGAAAAACTTGTTTCAAATCACCTGAGGAATCTCCTATTTCCGGGTCCTCCGACATTTTTGTTACATCCTGTATATCAAAGCGCTGGTCTGATTTTTGTACACACACGTGTTCCCGATGTGAGGTTAGGAGACACGCCCTGGTCCTTTATCGGCTCCCCGCAGCTAACGATTGACTTTATTAACCTTGGAGTAACGTTTCTCGTTCATAAACGAACCTGAAATAACGGCCGCGACTCCGGTTGCATAATGATCGACGTTGCGCGCCCCGTCGCCACGTACGGTCGAGAGTGAAAGCACCGCCTCTCTCGCATTGGGGCCTAACCACGTTAGAATCGCTCGTGTGCGACGCCGTTACCAATGTATATGCATGCATTTCTACCTCCTATTCCATACACACCGTCGTGCTCTCGAGATAACGACTAAACGCAACACGTCCCGGACACTTTTACCCTGGGTTGTTCCGGTGTTTCAGGTGCAGAACCAGCCGATAGATAATAAAGGTGAACGAACTGGGCTGGACGATACGATGTTCGTTAGACGAAATTGTGTCATCGTTTGCCAGTGTCCTGGGTTAGGTTAGAAACGATGGAAACCTTAGACGAGTGTATGGAATATCGGTTATTGAAGAGAATATCCTTTTAGTGTTAATGGAAATATATACGTGAATTTCTAATTTTCCAACATTTTGGTTATGTATACCCTTTCTGAGCTGAAGGTTAAGTCGGAACGAATGGAGTTCTGTATCTATAGGAATTAGAAATAGCAATTTGGTACTGTTAGATACCATTTACAGTGAAATCAAATGAATTTTGGATAGGATAACAATTTACATCCAAACTTATTGAAATACCTTCAATACCAATCTCCAGTGCATTCTAACCTAATCTAGTTCGTATTTCTTCGATCATTCATGATGAAAGTATAAGAAAATTTCTCACTGGTCATCATTATTTCCAATATGTAGCTGAAGCGGAATCATAATCAAGTTTTCCAATATCGGAACTTCAAAATTTGTTCCTCTTTCAATACACGTTCACAAAACCGATACGAAAACCAATGGAACCTCGTCAATTGGTGATGCCCGATACAATTCCGATACATGTAAGTATCGATATATCGGTTCATGAATGTCGACGTTTTGTATCGACATTTTAAGCAACGATACATCGGTGTATCGATACTGTATAATCTTAGAAATGTAGAATGTATAAATCAATACTTAAAATATATATTCTTGATTTCAATCAAACTCAAATTTCTTTTATTTTAAAAAATTATATTTATATTCTTCTCCGGCCCCCAGAAAAACATTCTAGTTACGCCCATGATCGATACTAAAAGAAATCAATTCTTATCGATACATTTGAATGTAACAGGAATCGCTAATCGAAAACCAATGGGCCTTGTGATATCGCGATCGTTCGCCAGAGATCGTCGAAGGGCCGCCGCGGAGGGATCGGTGGCGCATCACGTAATTTCTAAGTCGGGTGATATCGGTCTTGCACCAGTCTGTCTGTCGCAACTGGTTTCGGGACCACTGGTCGTCGTCCAACTTACAATTTAGCTCTACCCGCTGTCAGGAGGCTCGTAACAATGGCACAATCGGTGATAAATTCGCTACGGGTGATCATCGAGGTTTCCGTGCAAGGGCGAAACAGCCTCGTCTTTACGATTTTTCGAAGACCAATGGAGTGTACTCGACATCAAGAAGACAGAAAAGTCTCTCCAATATTAAACTTGAACTACCAAATCAGACCAATAATATTTATGGATGAGCAGAGAGTTTTTGTCTAGATCTAATCAGATCCCTATGCTACTTTCTTTCCCTTCTCAAACAAATCCAGTTACAAACAACTGTTACCTCGAAGTAAACCAGTCATCATAACCCAACAAACAGGATGAAATTCCCCGTAACTCGAATCAGAAAATTGACCCAGGTAGCCCGAGGGTTAAGGTACGTTTCCACGTGACAATAAAACTCATGACTTTCCTTATCATTTGACACTGTATAACAATATACTAAACCAATATCCACATCACAGCAACATCTAGTTTTCACGAAAACAAAGCTCAAAACATTTACTGTCTATACACCCATAAAAGTCACG